CGTATGTCTCACACAGCATAATTCCACCAGCTCTAGACGATGGAGAGAATATGGCTGGAAAAATGTGATTAGGTTCTTTATTACTCCTTATATCAAAAGCAAGCAGCTGAAAACACCCCAATGAGGCTGGAGATTATGTGGAGACTTGGACGCCAATCATTCTCATGTGTTTTGGAAGTGTAAAAATATCAAACCTTACTGAGAAAGCATTACAGTAACAATGAAGAAAGTGCCGTGGGTATGACGTGCCATGTGAGGCACGAGTAATGTATTTTGGAATATGGGAAAATGTAACAAAGGAGGAGCATTACTTGTTTAAAATTATGTTGTTGTCAAGCAAAAAGGTAATAACAAAAAACTGGCTGAAAAGTGACCCTTTAAAATTGGAAGAATGGACTGATGTAATCGAGGACATATATATAATGGAGAAAATGACCTACACTTTGAGACTGAAATCTGACAAACACCGAAAACAGTGGACAAAATGGATAGCCTATAAGACTCACTCAGCCCCATAAGGCAGGGACCTCTCCTCCTTGTTTTTTTTTTCTCTTCCACAGATTAGGTGTCCTTTATTCCTTTTAGTTTGTTTCTTTTGTGTTCCTTTTTCATATTTTTGTTTGCATGTACTATAAATTTGGAAAAAGTACAAAATAAAAAGCTTTAAAAAAAAGAAAATATTGTTATTTTCCCAACATGCTGTCTCTGAAATTGCTGCCCACCTTCCTTCTTTCACATAATGGTCTGTCTTTGCATGTGATTGGCCACATGGTATGGCAATCAAAACAATATCCCATCCCTACATGCATGAGTTCTCAGTAGGGTAGGCTAAAGATGTGGCTCTCCCTGGCTGGAGTCAGCTCTTGTCATTCGCTAGAAAGAATCGACTCTTAGAACCAGCTCATTCACAAACGACACATCGCTACCATTATGGCACCTTCACATTTGTTTTCTCTAAGGTTCTATTTTCTTTTTCATTCCTTTCTGCCTGTGAACTAAGAGTAGGGATGCCATGGAAGACTGTCAGATTTTAAAACGTTTCCCTGCAATACTCTCTAGCAGAACATATTTGCTTCATTTTTTTAACTGTAGCTGTGGATAAAATATACATATGTCTGACAAAAAATTGGGGTGGCTTTCACACCAGTTTTATTGTGCCCAAATTTTACTGAGAGACAGCAACATAAGATACTTACAATATAAGTCACAGGGGCACTGCTAAAAGGGTCAACAGCGGACAGTCAGAGACATGACATTTCTTTTAAACGCTTATATTTTAGATCTTATATTTTCATTATAAAGACTTTCTAAACATTTTATGCTATACCTAAAAGCAGGTAGAGCTTATAAATGACTTTTCAAATTCCCCACATTTTTAATAACAACTAATTCAGTCATGAAGGTTGAATAAGTGCTTAAATTGTCTTTTCATTATTAAAACTAAGAAGCTTCTCCTTACAATTTAATGTTGACACACTGTTTTTCCTTTAAAACAAACCTAGGGTAAGTGACTGCCTAGAAATTGTACATGATTCAAATCTGTTTACTAAACATTATAAAAAGGAATCAGCACTATTAGTATTTTTGCCTGTTATTACTATTGGATTGTTATCTTATATCACACCAGTAAAATGTGTTTTACAAAAATAGGAGAAGAAGAAAAATATATTTTTTCCACAAACAGTTCAATATTCAATCAATCAATATTATTCTTTAATTTGGTGAATTTGGAAAAAAAAAACACATACAGAAATGTGAAAAAGTCTTGAACCACCCCTCATGTCTATATTTTGCTCTCCCCCACGGTGTAAATTAGCCTTTATACATGTTTCATGTTTTTCATGTCCACTTTAAATTGCATCATTAGGCACCTTAGTATCAGCAAGGTGATTCCCAAAGAGCTAATACCTGAAAGTTTGCCTGAAAGCATGCTGTGCAGTATGTCCATATAAATTTGAGGAAACTGGACAAGTGGAGGTCAAAAGGATAAGCGGTGAACAGTATCTGAAAGTTGTGTTATTAAGCAGTATGAAATAAGGCGCAAAAGACCTGACACAGCACTGGAGACATGCATCTAACCCTAGCCCCTCATTTGATCCACCTACTGTTTGCTGAAGCCTTATCAAAAATGGTCTCAGTAGAAACATGGCTGTTAAGAAGCCAGTAGCAAGTCAGAAGCAACATGTCTTATGAAGTGATTAAACAAAATTTGAAATTTTTGGTTCAAATTATCATTAAGGATGAGGGGAGGAGAATGGTATCACAGTGTGTTTCTATAGTGCGTAACATCAGATTTTGATTGACTATGCAATTTCATCTGGAAAGCATCTGATTGGCAACAGTTTCAATTGTCAGTACAATGGTGACCTAAAACAAATTGTCAGTGCAGAAAAAGCAGGTCTGGATACAAAAGAATACATCAATCATGAGCTGGCCTCCCAGATCCTAGACCAACATAACATTATTGAAGCAATGTAGGATCATCCTGACAGAGAGCAGAACAAAGGGCAGCCAACATTTCCGTGAGCCTCAAGAACTATTCCTGAAGCCTCCTTAAAGAAATTACAGGAAAGCTGCCTAAGAGAGTGTTGAAGCACAAAGGTGATCATGCCAAATGTTAACTTTCAAGCCTGTTGCAACTGTAAAAATATATAATTGTTTTCCTATCAAAATATACAGAAATCATAAGTGGCTCAGACTTTTGCACCATGCTGAATGTTGCATGTTGGGATTTTTCCTTTCCCCCTTTTTTAGACAAATGACTATGAAATTATCTTTTTAGAGAAATATTATTTTATGAATCCCACAAATCTTAATCATATAACTAAAACAATAGCCACTGTTAACCTCTTAAGCCCCAAGCCTAACTGATCTCCTGCCTTTTGCCCCCGTATCAGGGGGCGTTGGGGCTTAAGAGGCTAAATAATTCACTGGTTCTATTTGGTAAATGGTAAATGGACTGATTCTTATATAGCGCTTTTCTACTCTCACAGAGAACTCAAAGCGCTCTATACAACATGCCTCACTCACCCAATCATACCCATTCTCACAAGCACTTTATCTACACTTAGTGCTTTGTAACAACATTCATACACATTCATACTCCGATGGATGCATCGGAGAGCAAGTTGGGGTTAGTATCTTGCCCAAGGATACTTGACATGCAGACTGGAGGAGCCAGGGATCGAACCACCGACCTTCCGATCAGTAGGTGACCTGCTCTACCTCCTGAGCTACAGCCACCCACTTATTTCTATTCTATACATTTGTATTGATTTGTAGGGGACCCAGGGCAGCAACCAGAAAGCTATGTTCTGTTTCATCAGAGTTTGGAGGGTGTCATGGACAGGTTGTTGATGCTCAGCAGAGTCACACAACAGAAATTATCTTGCAACACATAAACAATGCTTTAAAGCCTTATATAATGTATGGGCAACACATGAGCACCCAGGCGTGAGGGAAAACTGAAATGATATGCATAAAAGAACATTAAAATCTTTAGATGTACAACTTTGTGATAAACAATGTGGGAAAAATGAAAAAAGAGGTGAGCCTACTGCTGTGAAATAACCATTAGAATCATTTTCTCCTTCTTGTCCAAAGGAGTTCACACTGGGAGTGGATCATGAGAATAATCATTATCTGGGGCCCAGAGTAAAGTCTGGTACCCTGTTGTGGAGTCTCCGACTTACACATAACATCATTTCTTTCTGTTTGTAAGGCTGACTGAGAGAAGAAAGAGGACAAAAGCTTCTTGGAGAGAAAGTTAAGGGTTCAAAATAAAATAACAGAGAAAAACAGCGAAGAAGAAAAAATTATATTAGAAACCATATTGGAAATTAAATTCCTTTAATTCTTGATGCGTTATTGCATCGCACTGTTTGTTTCCAAGGTGAACCATAAACGGACAAGATGGAACTAACGGACAAAGTGAATGGCCGTGCGTCATCGCAGCAGCACCAATAAGCGAGCACGCCTTCTGTCGTGCCAAATTATAAAGGGTGGTCTCCTCTGACTTAAACCAGAGCGAGTCGCGACGGCACATATCCACTCGGCTTGCTCAGTTGTACCTTTTCGTTCCATACCTTCATGAAGAAAAGCAGAATGGATTTAAACTTCACGCTCTCGGGGAGCGACTTGATCGGCTTTGGCTCGTTGGCGCAGAAACTTTTTGCGAATAACTCACTGCCTCCATTTGATAACAGCACCGTCGGTCCCACAAGTAATGAGGAGGACCTGGAAGTTAATACGAATGTGTACGCAAAAGTCATTGTCACTATCATTTACTTGGCTCTGTTCGCCATAGGCTCCCTGGGCAACTCCATCACCATTTATACCCTGATTACCAGAAAGACGCTGCAGAACCTCCAGAGCACCGTGCACTATCACCTGGCCAGTCTCGCCGTGTCCGACTTGCTCATTCTGATCCTCTCCATGCCCATTGAGCTCTACAACTTTATCTGGTTCCATTACCCATGGGTGTTCGGGGACGCCGTGTGCAGGGGTTACTACTTCCTCCGGGACAGTTGCTCTTATGCCACCGCGCTTAACATCGCCAGCCTGAGCGTGGAGCGCTACATGGCCATCTGCCACCCGTTCAAAGCCAAGAGCATCATGTCCCGCAGCCGCACCAAGAAACTCATCAGCGCCATGTGGCTCGCTTCCTTCGCTCTCGCGACACCGATGCCCTTCATCATGGGCCAAGGGATGCGTAACGGCGAGAAGATATGCACCACTGTGGTCTCTCCGGTCACGGTGAAGACCGTGCTGCAGGTGGGTGTCGTGGAAAGCTTTTATTATCACAATTATCGGTCCCCACTGTGGTTTCTTAAGGCATCGAGACAAAGTAAAAATCTACAGTACAAGTAGTACTTGAGCCACAAGTAGTAGGTGAGACGGCTGCGAGGGATCCTTCTAAACATGTGGGAGTGTGTGCTGTGGCGCTTTAAAGAACAGGGCTTTACGCGCAACTTCGCCTTTACCATTATCGTCTATGCCCACTTATACATGTTGTTGTTGTTTCGTCGAGAAAAAAAACTAAATGGTGGCCTGCTCATGAAAACATTTTAGTTATTAAACCGTGTAGGGTCAATGAAGTCTGTCAAAAACAGTGTTTTCCTACTGCAAGCAAATGATCTGCAAATCAGCAAATAATTCTTTTAGTCAAATTATTTAAACTATCGCGTCCTCAGTTTTTTTATATTTATATATATCTGTTGAAAATAAACATTTGGTGAACAAATTCACTAAAGCCCAAATCATCTTCACATGTGAAGAAAGCACAGCATGTATGCCGCTACAGATGTCATTGTCTGTGTTGGCTCACTTTCTTCTTTGTTTTTAAGCTGGTAGAGTTCGAATGATTAGAGATTCATTCATAAACACACTTGAAAGTCAGATTATAGCTATATTTTTTTCATACAGAGCACCAGAGATTTGACAATTACAGTTCATGCAAGCTGTGAAAATGAACAATACATAAATAAAAATGATCAGGTTCCAAAGATATTCTATTTCTTGAAATGCTTCTTGTAGAAATAATATCAGACCTTGACACTGAATATTGGCAAACTGAATATTTTAAGGGTGGAAGCACCCACATAACTGCTGTAGGTTGCTTTCATGTTGGGAACTAGCCGTCTTAGTAATACATTATGCACTCTGTGATGGTGACAAGAGAAGAATATGTCACTTTACCTTCATTCATACAGTCCATGTTATAATTTGAATTTGAATTTATTTATTTAAAAGGGACAGTGCAGTTAAACATAGTTCAAGTGCAAGACATGAGACTGATGTACCGCACATAGGTTTATAGCTACTGCTATACAATATGATATAAAAGCACAGGAGGACACTAAGGGAGTATTCTTTTTGAAATTCAACTCATCATCACAGCAGACTAAATAACACCACGAAGTACAGGTACTGCCAAGGAATAAGAAAAGAAATAGCCACTTCCCAAATTGCTAGAGAACTATAAAATAGAGCAAAATGACAGCATAAAACAACATAAAGCACAATCCTATGCACAACCCCCTGACCATACCAGTTACAAATATAATTCAAAAAGGGTGTTGCTGTTCGTTTTTCTTTCTTTAAGGAAGTACAGCAGTTGAAATTATAAGTTACAGCATGCGGGACCTCAATGTGAATCGGTGGTCTGCTTCACAAAAAGTTTGGGCCTGTAAGCGGGCATTACAGTTTTATACCACAACAAAAACAAGTATTATTACGACTATCTTCTTCTGGGAAACTGTCTTCTCCCCTGCGGATCTTCTCCTCCACTCCGTCCACGTCTGACCTCATCTACCATCTGCTCCTTTTCTGGAAAAAGATAGAGAAAGAAAAACACCTCCCTAACCTAACCTTACTGCATTAATATTATCTAACAATTCTCAGCCTACTGATTCTACGTATTATCTAAGACATTCTGTTCGGACTCCCTTGGCCCGGAAAAATATCAGCTAGATTCTAATGATGTGTAAGCATGTTTGCAGAGTCCCTCTGCAGCTCTATATGTCAGTCTCAATATTTCAATTCAATCATAACATTGAATTAATGATTTTGACCCTTATTACATGTGAAATGTCACAATGTCAAATGTGAAATTTGACATGCATAATGTGAAACTTATCAATGATGGCCAGCTGTCTGGCCTCAAACCATGACATTACCACCACTGTGTCGCATTTAACCCATGCAGCCCTCAATCCAATGTGTCCCCATTAAATTGTCTCTCAACCACCAAAACTTTGAGAATCATAGCTTTAAACTCTGTAAAATTAATGGTAATGGACAGGGACACAAATTAGGGCTAAATATCATGGTTCTGTTTTCTCGAGCAACTGTTTGAAATGCCAGAGAAGAGAAAATGCCTTAAGTGCCTCAGTCCAAGGACTATGTGCATTGTAGGCTGATCTGTGTCTGACAGTAGTTACCCTAGGAATAATCTACAAGTGCCTTATGGCAGTTGTCCTTTGAGCTCTGGATGTGTAGGTGACTGATAGAAGTCAAGACAATGAGCTTTTACTGAGAGCGCAGCACCCACATCTAATGAAAAGATATTTCTCAAAACTGTCTCCAGGCCTTCCCACAGAGCAACAAGCTTAGAGGTTGTGTAAGTGATTAGGCCAGTCTCCCTTCGCTTGACAGTCCACATACTTCACATTGACTGAAAACTTGTTGAGGTTGTGGAGAAAAGCGATTTTGGTTCCAGTGTAATCATTAGCGATCATCATGGTTAGTGCCCCCTGCTTCTCTGCATCATGCTGAATATATTTTTCCATATCTGTTTTTCTGCTCTTTTGATGTCCTTCAATGTCTCATTTTTTTGTTTTTTCTGTTTTCATCACTCCTGCATGACTAACTGAAGCTGTGCCAAGGATAGAAATTGTTATCTTGTATTGCTTTCATTCAGGCTATAAGTGAGCTACGCTGCATTAAAAAGTCCACATTTTCCACACAGTTCTCTGTAGAAATATAAGTTGGGGTGGTGGGGTCTGGCAGCAAATGGTATCACACAGTCGAATTGCTACAATAACATTTTGAGTGTTTGTGTACATATTCTCTTTTGTCCATCTATGATACACTGCTGCAGTAGAGGGTCACCGCACACTCGGTCTGTTTGGACAACAGTGCAATACTCTGAGGGGAAAGAAAGGGTGTGTGTGTGTGTGTGTGTGTGTGTGTGCGTGTGTGCGCGGTTGCATGAGAAAATTGAAGAGAAGGAGAATGATGAAGTGGTCAGAGAGTGAGGAGGAAGCCAGAAGGGTGATTAATAAGAGGAGCATGGCTCTAACTCTGCTTGGGTTAGGAGTTCAGTCCTCTTAAAACTGCAGCACAGTGAGTTAAACTGTACTTTAAATGGCAAATACAAATAATGCAGGACTCCTGGATCTGCTTCTTAAAACTGTCAAACAAAATCTCTCAAAAATGTTAAATATTTTCTATACTTGTACTAATATTTAACTAAGATGTTAGTCCTTGTTGGCATTGTTCTCTCACTAGAGCTAACAACAGCTTACAAATGTGTTGGATATGGTGTTGTTCCTACAACATTAATGTCATTCCAACTGACCGATCAAGTTGGATCAGGACTGGGAAAATGATTTTCCTTCATGGCTTTCTCATTTGGCTTACACTGTTAAAGGATCAATTTCAACAAAGCATTAAAAACATATCATTTAGTAAATGCTGGTATGTTCTAGACACACCAGGTGTCCTTTAGCAGCAGTGCATTAGTGAGAAAGTGCTCTCTTCCAACTCCTTATTTTTTTTAGTGCAAAGGATAGCTGCTGCGAAGGTGTATGTATTTATACTGAACTTCCTCACCAAGTAGTTCTTAGTTCCTAAACCTAAGCAGCGAGTAAGAGTGAAAAAGACAGTAAAATCAAGTGCAAAACACATGAGAAGGAGACTTTATTATTTTACTTTATTCCACATTGCAACGTCCTTATGCGGCCTTTTCACATCTCTAACATGAGGACTTCCTCTCAGTGCCATTTAAAATGCTTTTTTTTGTCTTTTTTATAACAGAAATGGCTGAAGATTCTATTCTATTCTGTTCTGGTGACTGTTTAAAATAATTTATTGTCTCATCTCAGTCTTGATCTTGCCATGTCAAAATAAACACAGCAATTTCTGCCATGTAGCAAAGTTTAATTCTAAAAGAACTTTGGGTTGGTTATGAAAACATTTAAAACAACAGAGGCTCTGTATCATTTCTACAATTTAAAAATTAAGAAAATAAAAATAAAAAAGGGAATGCACTGGGGGAAGCACCAGTCCTGATCTAGTGAGGCTGTAGTTTGGGTATGTAAGGTGTTGTGGAGATGGACTAAAGCAAAGGTCACCTGAGGCGTTTACTTCAAAATAGGATGTGGGCTTATCTAGCTACGTTTGGTGTTAACCCTGACTTTTTAGTACTACAAAGGCAGTTCAGGTCTAACTTATACTGAAGGAACTGACCTGTTCCAGAGCGGATAAGACATGAACTGGTATAATATCAGTGCATACTGACCAGTCAACTCTCCAGAAAACAAAGTCACCATTCTTGGAAGAATTTCGGATCTGTGTGCACGGACAGTGGGAGGATCCAAAGTTTTGGCTATACTGAACGTTCTTTGTAGTACTGGTTCCTAGTATGTAAGGGCCCCTACCCTGTACCTTGACTGCCAACTAGCAACAGGTGTGCAAGGCTAGAATCCAATAGAGTAGTTATATTTTATCAATCAGTCAATTTGACCTTTTATCAATTACTTGAAAAAGCTACCCGAGAAACAAATATTAGCTGGGTAAACTAATAGTACTCTGCTAGATCAAAGTTACATACAGATGACAAGAGAATTATTGCCCCCTGTAGAACTGGCAGATTTCATATGTGAAAAAGCACCATGGCAGCATGTATAATTAAACTTCCTGTACCTGAACAAAGTGGATTTTAAAAAGATAACAGCCACAATATTTGGACATATTTGGACCATTAATATAAGTAAATGGAAGAAAACACAAATGATTTCCAGAATGTTCTTGATGTTTAGTTGGTTTTCTTCCATCATAGAGGAAAAAGAACTGTAAAATGTGTGTGTATGTGTGGAAAATATGCAAGGTAAATGTAAGATGGGGAGAGAAATCTAAATGTGCAAGAATGTGAATTTGTTTTTGTTTTTTTTATTTCTTAATTGTTGCAGAGCGTGAGGAGCCTGAAAGTAAAGAAGACATTCTAGTGTAGCAGGGATTCATCTATATGCAGTATTGTAGTGCAGTGCTGC